CTCCTCCCCTGTCGACGTCGACTGCAATCCCACGTCGACCTGCCGCTCGTCACGTCGGCCACCGGCGATGCACTTGGCCGAAGGCGACGTCCCACTACTCCCCTCATCGCCGGAGGCCGACACCGAGGTCAGCCCACGCAGGTCGGCCACGAGGGGAGGGGCAGGGGTCGGAGGGGGAGGGGTAGGGGGGCGGACGTCCTCGACGTCCTCAATAGCAAGCTCACCGACCTCGGCAAGCAGTGGCAGCGTCGCCGACGAAGTGTCAGAGGGCGGGGTGGGCGACGAGCGGCCGGACACCGACCCGTACTCCGTCTTCCACTCGGCCAGCGACATCTCCTCGTAGAACACCACGTCCGACGTGGTGAACACCCGGTCGGTGTCGGCGTCAAGGAGCTCCCAGCCCTTGCTCGCCGCCGACACCCCAAGGTGCAGGCCCCACCTGGCCTTCGGCTGCAGCTTCCCACCACGCTGCTGCTCGGGGACTAAGAACTGCGCCATGCAGCCCCACACCCGCGCCAGCGACAAGTCGGGCTTCTTCCCGGTCAGCAGCTGGTACGGCGTCGTCCCCGGTGGCAGCGCCGACCTCTCAAGGCAGTTGCGGACCCAGACGGCCTGCCGGAGAGCGAGGTGCCACCACTGGTGCTGCACGCCCATGTGCAGCAGCATTGTCCGCACCGACTCCACCACCGTCCTCATCTCCCGCTCCGCCATGCCGTTTTGCTGCGGGGTGTATGGGCAGGTCAGGTCGTGGACGATCCCCTTGCCGTTCACGAAGTCGGTGAACTGCTTCTCGAGGAACTCCCCTCCACGGTCAGAGCGCAGCATCAACACCGACTTCTTCGTCTGCCGCTCAGCCACCGCCAGCCACTGCACGAACAACGGCAACGCATCTGACTTCTTGGTGACCGGCTTGACCCACACGTAGCGGGTCTTGCGGTCCTTCAGCAACAAGAAGTACAGGCTGCCATCCTTGGCAGCCATGCGGAACGGCCCGCACAGGTCGATGTGCACGACGGCCAGCACGTCGTCGGCGTCGGAGCCTTGGTCGGGGAAGGTGTGCCGCGCCAGCTTCCCGCCGACGCACAAGACACACGGTGAGTCGGCGTCCGTCGCCGACTTGAGGTCCAGCCCAATGGCGACCTCGTTCTTCACCAAGCTCCGTATGGTGTCCATGCCAACATGTGCAAGCCGCGCATGCATCCGGTCCGGCGTCAACTTCGTCTTCGAGACGATCGCCCGCAGAGCCACAACCTCCGTCGTGGGCGACGTCGGCCTCGTTGAGCAAGGACGCAAGTCGGTGCAGAGGACGCGCCCGGAGTATGTCGCCCGACCGAGCACCACTCCAGCTGCAGAGACGAGCATCATTCCCTCTCCATCCTCCTGCAGCTTCATGCCGTGCTCCTTCAGCTGGCCGGACGACAGCAGGTTGGCCCGCACACCCGGGACATAAAGTACGTCGGGGATGAGTACCTGCTTCCCGGCCTCCCCTTGTAGGGCGACGGTGCCACGGCCCTGGACGTCCTGCAGCGCCCCATTGAAGCCGCGCACATGCCTGATGGCGCCGCTCGGCTGCAGGTTGACGAAGGCTTCCTTCGTCCCCATCAGGTGGTGGGAGCAACCGCTGTCGAGCAGGACCACCGCCGGGTTCGCCTGCACAGCTGGTGCCACCGCCTGGAAGTCCTCTCCGGCCTCCGGCGCCAGCGAGACGGTCGGCTCCACGACGCCGACCAGCGAGCACGACGCCGTCTTGTCATCCCGCGCCTTGCCGCCAGCAAGGGAGTCGGCGTCCTTCGCCGAAGTCGACATCTTGGTCGACTGCTTCTCCTTGCGCCGCCGATTTCCTCCTCGACGAGGACGACGACTGCTCGACCTCCCGCGGCCGCCCTTGTCGTTGTCGTCGGAGTCACTGCGGTCGGGACACTCGAAGGAGAGGTGATTGGGGCTGTGGCAGATCCAGCACTCCCGACGTCGACCTCCTCCTCCTTGACCGCCGTCCTTGGTCGACTTCTTCTCGACCTCCTTGGTCGACTTCCAGCCACCGCTCCCGCCGCCACCAAACTGTCCGCGCTGTCCTGGTCGGCCTCCTTGCTTTGCCAGGGCGACGAAGTTGGCCTGCGCCAAGAGTTCCTGTGACCGCTCAGCCTCCTGCATCGCCTCGTCTTGCAGGATGTACGAGGTTAGGTTGTCCTCGTTGAGCGTCGCCCTTGTGCTCGCGCCATGGACAGCCGCTTCAGGAGGTTATAGCTGCTGAAAAATCCCTGCATGACATGGGTGATGTACGACGCCGTGGAGTACTGCGCGCCGGCCATCCTGATAGTGGCGAGAATTCGCCGGGCTCGGTTGCAGTAGTCAGTCGCTGTCTCCTCGTCACCCATACGCAGGTGCGTCAGCTGTCCCTCCAGCTGGGCGATGAACAGGTCGTCGGTGACCTGGTACGTTGACTCAATGAAGTGCCACGCGCGGTGGCCGGCGTCGATGTACTCCCGGCACCACTTTAAGGCGATCTGCACGCCCGGCGAGCAGCACCGCGAGATGACCGTGAAGGTCAACAGCTGCACGGCGCGAAACTCCGGCCGCAAGTCGGGGTGGTGCTCCCCAGGCGTCGCCACGGTCCCTCGGGCGAAGCCGATCAGCCCGGCCATCTCCAGCTGGGGCTCGATAGCTTCCTTCCAGGTGAGAATGTCGGGTCGACCGACCAGTGGGGGGGTGACTGAGATCCTGTCCGGCGTGAACTTGAAGTAGCCGTAGCTCGGCGCAATCCCACCTGCGGTCACCTGGGACGCCGACATCGGCGACAGCCCACTCCGTCGACCTCCGACGTCACCCTGCGAAGAGCCTGCAGCCGCCGACGACTGCATCCCTCGCGCCTGAACGCCGCCGACTTCACCGGCGTGTATCACACCTCTCTGCCTCAACGTGCCTCCAGCACTTCTGCCGACTTGACCACCACCGGCGTTGACGCCCACGTCGACGCCGCCTTCGTTGTTCACCGGACGAGGAGAGGCAGGTCGAGACGGGTGCTCCGTCGCCCACATGGAGCGGAGTCTAGCCTCGACGACCGCCCAGGGCAAGTCGCCATACTCGTTGGCCTCGTGCTTCCTCCTCGCGTTCTCCAACCGTGCCTCCAGGGTGTCCACCACCCCCGCGTCACCTACGGCTCCTACCATAGTGACTACCGCACAGTTGCCAGCCTGTAACTACGAAATAGGTAAGTGGTGTCTACGTCGACCTGACTGAAAGGTAAGTCGTGTGCCGTCCACGCTCACCGCACCATGCGGAGATAACTGCTGCAACGGGAGCTAGACTACGGGCTAGGCACGTGTGCTCGTGTGATCTCTGCGTTCGTTCACTTAGTCATTTCCTTGTGTTTACGCTTCTTGCTAGTTCACGGGGAGAATTGGCAAGAGTTTCACTAGGAAAACATGACAACAATGATCCAATGAAGTTGGCAATGCAAGACTATATCAGAGCTAGCATTCAGGTCGGCCAACTGCCAGCGCAGCTTGGTCGACCGCGTTCCAGCACGACTTGGTCGACCGCACTCCAGCAAGGCAAGGTCGACGGCGTGCCAACGTTGCAGGTTGATGGCGTACCAGCATTGCTCACGCAGGACAGCAGTGCACCCGCTTCGCAGGTGCGCGCAGATGATTGGCGTGCAGAGTCTCGTCACCTGCACAGCGCACACACCACGTCAACCTCAAGCTGGCGACTGCCTCTGATCCGCCACGACGACCTCGGGATACCACCACCGAGGTCGGTCTCGCCAACTTCGCCTGGGCGACCGTCGCACTCCTCCGCAGCACTTCGTCACCCAGGTAACCTGGTCGACCGGGCAACCACATCGACCAGCAGCTCCCATACGTGCCCGTCGACCTCCCAAGTCGACGACCACCTCCATGTCGGCCTCACCAGGACGACCACGCCCCTCGGTCGACCTCCTCCAGGTCGACGTCCCTTCTGGTCGACCAGCTCCACGTCGACCAGTACTAAGTCGGCCAGCGCAGTTGTCGGCCGACCACCCACGTCGGCCACCCGAAGTCGGCGTCACGGAGTTGACGCCCCGCTACTTGACGCCCAACTGCTCGTCGTCCTGAGTCAAGGTCGACGTCGGCCCCTCCTTCGTCGACCACCAGGTCTAGTCGACCACCCGCAGGTCGACCAGCAGTCCATCAGCCGACCACCGAAGTCGGCTTCCCCAAGTTGACGTCACCAAGTTGACGTCCTCCGCAGGTCGACTCCTAAGTCGACCTCCCCGAAGTTGGCGCCACCATGAAGTCGGCGCCCGTGCAGTGGTCCCCGTGCAGGTCGACCTCCTCGTCAAACAGCTCGCCCACTGCCGCAGGTCGGCTGTTCCCCTAACACCCTACCACGATGTCGGCTCCGCCCAAGCGAGGACGGGGCCAACACACAACTCCCGTTGACAATGCCTTGGCGTGCGCTGCCGCCAGCATTCCTGTCAGTCTGCCTGCCCCCTCCCGCATCAACGCTCCATGGCATACTGCTGACACTGCCAATCTCCATATTTTTGCCGCGGCCCCTGCCTGCCTTCACCCTGTGCTTGCCTTTGTGCCTCCCTCCCACACCACTCTGCACTGACCATGCCGCACGGCACATTCCCTTACCCTTGCCCCATGATCCACCTTCAACTCCTTGCTTGAAGGCAGAGGGTATGGGGCAGCAGGGGAGGCTGAAGGCAGTCTCGAGAAGAGGCTGCCTCACAGCTCCGCCAGCTCGCCTCAGGGCAGATCCAGTGAAGATCTGCTGGATGCGGTGCTTCGGTGGCTTGCCGCGAGGAAGAGGGGGAGGAAAAGGGGAGAAAATGGGGAGAGAGTAGAGTGAGTGGAAGAGCAAGAGGGATTGGGCACATATAGAAACAAACGTGGTTTGGGAGAGGTGGGATGGAAGGCGTGGACAGCAGGCGGCAGGCACAAGGGGGGCCAGCATTGCGGCAGAGTCAGTGAGAGAGAGAAGCGCATCACTTGTGCCAGGGGATCCAGTCATCAAAGAACTTGAGCATGCGTGTGCGTGTTGCTGCGCACCGTAAAGAGATCGGCGTTGGCGACGACGGCGCGCGAATTGACACCCCAGAGAACCGCACGATCAGTTAATACCACGTCGTACCCCAGCGCCAATATGCTCCGCACCACGTGCACCTTCCGCCACACCTGTGCGCGGATGAGAAGGGAAGGATTTGAGGTGGTAAGGTGGGCAGGCGGTAAGGTGGGCAGGCGGTAAGGAGGAAGTACTGAAGGAAAAAGAACAGAGTGTGGGGAGAAACAGGGAAGAGGGACACATGGAAAAGGGACAGGGAAACGGGTAACACGGAGACATGGAAGGGGATGGGGGGAGGCAGGGAAGGGGATGGGTTGAAGCAAGGGAGGGGGTGGGTTGAAGCAGGGAAGGGGATGGGGTGGGGATGGGGGGAAGAAGGGGAGGGATGGGGGGAAGCAGGGCAGGGGATACGGGGAAACAGGGAAGAGGATGGGGGGAACGGGGGCAGATTCTGGGGAGAGAGCTTGGGGGAGGATGGTGGGGAGCAGAGAGGGGTTCAAAACACTTATCGATTGGGGTGGTGGAGGCGACCACCTCTGTTCCTCCCCATCTATTCCTCCCCCTCTTGGGATGGTGAGATGGGGAGAGGGGAAGAGCGGATGGAAACGCGACGAGGGGAAGCGGGAGTGACTGGGAGGCAAGGGCGACGACGGGACGCGCGAGCGACGAGGAGGGGTGCGGGCGGTGAGGGTCGGCAAGGGTGATGAGGGGAAGAGCGAGTGACGAGAGGGAATGTGGGTGACTAAGGGAGGTGAGGGCGTCGAGGCGGTGCGGGTCGACGAGGGTGATGAGGGGAGCGCGGGTGACGATCGGAAGCGCGGTATGTTTACTATCAGCGATTGCGACGATGGGATGTGTGGCTGACGTGGGAAAGCGCGGGCGACTAGGGGAACATATGTGACCAGAGGGTCGGCGAGGGTGATGAGAAAACCGCGGGCGACGAGGAAAGCGGTCTGAAGTGGGAAAGTGTCAGAGTAGTAGTTAGAATGAAGGATCCATAGCTAGGGTTTAGCTAGCTAAGCAAGAGAGAATGAGGCAAAGGAGGAGGTTCACTAGCAAGCAGGTGGATGCATATAGGAAACCCTAAGGGGTCATACTCACTACAGAGTACCCCACTGCAGGCTAGACAAACTACACATTCTGACACACCCCCATAGTCAAAGTGGGGTATAATCAGCAGAGCAAGCAATCATAAAGCAGGTTCACAACTGCAAGCAAAGCTAGAGGCATTCACAACGGGCACGTGAGGAGGAGGAGGCTGGAGTGTGAGTGGAGAGGAGATAGGAGGCGACGGCTGAAGCTGCAGACACACGGGCAACAGGAGCGGCTGGCATAGTGGCTACCGGGACAGCGCCCCGGACTACTGGAGTAACTGGCTCTACGGCCAACTCTGAGCGGCAGGAGCAACGGACCCACGGGCGACAGGCGCAGCAGGCTCTCTGGGCTACCAGGACAGCGCCCCGGACTACAGGTGCTGCGGACGACAAGACGGCAGCCTCCGCTCAACCTCCCCCAACTGTCCCACCCCCCTTTTCACACACCCCTTACTGCACCCCTAGCTCCACTCCCACGTCACCCCCCTAGCAGCACTCCCTCGGCTCCCACACGCCCCACCCCCTCAGCGGCAGCTGCAGCAGTGGGAGACGGAGAAGGAGGAGGAGCAAGGGACGGCTCACACACCCGCCACCCCCATACCCTGAGTGTGCGGTAAGCGAGCTCAGGTGTGCGCGAAGCGTGCACATGCGTGCGTGAAAAGAACTCGAGTGTGCGGAAAGCGAACTCGGGTGTGCAGGGAGGGGGGGCGCAGGGCGACGCGCGGGTCGACGGGGACGGGCGCACGGGTCCCCGGGGGCGGCGTGCGGGTCGACGGGGCCGCCGCGAAGGGCGACGGGGAGCCGCGCGCGGGTCGACGGGGCCGCCGCGAAGGGCGACAGGGAGCCGCGCGCGGGTCGATGGGGCCGCCGCGAAGGGCGACGGGGAGCCGCGCGCGGGTCGACGGGGCCGCCGCGAAGGGCGACGGGGAGCCGCGCGCAGGTCGACGGGGCCGCCGCGAAGGGCGACGGGGAGCCGCGCGCAGGTCAACGGAGACGGGCGCCCGGGTCGACGGAACGCTAAACCGCCGCGCGCGCCCAGGGTGCGCGGTGGGCAGGAAACCGCCACGCGTCCCGAGCGCATGGCGGGCAGAAAACCGCCACGCACCCCGAGTGCGTGGCGGGAAGAAAACACATCGCACGCCACGGGGCGCGCGACAGACAGTATGGCAGCGGAAGCAGGCGGGCCCACATGCCAGGAGCGTAACCGCTCTGATAGCATGTAAGAGTAGTAGTTTGAATGAAGGAGCCATAGCTAGGGTTTAGCTAGCTAGGCAAGAGAGAATGAGGCAAAGGAGGAGGTTCACTAGCAAGCAAGTGGATGCATATAGAAAACCCTAAGGGGTCATACTCACTACAGAGTACCCCACTGCAGGCTAGACAAACTACACATTCTGACAGAAAGAGCGGACGACGAGGGGGAACATATGTGACTAACAGCAGCGTGCGTCACGCGAACTAGTACGGTTCTCGCGTCTGCGACCCGTGGCTAAAACGGTACGATCGTGACACGAGCCTGAACCGCAGCAAGTGTGACAAGAGCCTGCGTGTGCGACGCGAGCTTGAATGCAAGACGCGAGTAACACGAAGATCGTTCACTAAGTGCCATGGGGGAAGGGGTTGTAACATGAGATTGGTGACATGAGGGGGGGATTGGAGCGTGCATCGACTAAGATGGTTAGGGTGGATACCTATCTTTCTTTCCGCACCATAAAAAAAACCTATCAACAACTCGCTTTTGCCAACTAACGCTAGATTTTGCGTTGGAGCCTCCTATTATATGAGTATTACTTGGTAAGTGTAAGGAAAAATCCTCTTCCTTACTTCACGTCCCTACTCAGCGCGTACACCACTGTTCCCGCCACCAGCACCCAACAGTAAACTGTTACCACTCGCGACATTCGCCTCGACACTATTCCCGCCACTGTTCACGACGCGAACCAACCTCACGGTTCGGTTGGTAACCCACGCTCCGGACCTCCGCCTCGGCAATTCCCAACCTCGGCGCCAGGCCCGTCGCGCACCCCATTTTCACGCATTATCGTTACCATTGTAGTTTCGCTAAATATTCTTTGCTCATGCCTTCACTCATGGTACTCATTGCTTCAATAGTGCAATTCTCGTTCGATCGCTCAATTGCACTCGTAACACTTGGTATTCAGAGCCTACGATCTCTTCTCGGACCGCACCCACACCTTCGCTTCCCCACTATCTTTTTTTTTGGGGGGGGGGGGGGTAGACGTCTCTCAGCGAAATAAGAATTGACAGTCGCAACGTCGTTTTGTCTGAGAAAATTGAAACGAGAATGCATGAACTATGAATGAACTGAGTACAAGTACTAGCCCTAATTGGGTTGTACCCCTTATGGGCTACCCCACTATGGCCTACACAATAACACAAGCTATATGTTCTGACACACCCCCATAGGCAAAGTGGGGGAGAACAAGGGGTCACAAGACCAGTCAAGCAAAGCAAAGCAAAGCAAGCTCAGGGTGGATCACAAAGTCACCACACATTCCGAGCACAAGTTCAAGGCCACAAGGCCAGATCACATGCAGGAGTACATATATATATATAAGGCTAGACAAGCAAGAGCAGGTATATATATATGTAACAGTACAAGCAAGGTCAAGAGGTGAGCAAGTGAGGCAAGACAGGTACAAGACCCAGCTGGGTGCAGAAGCGCTGATGATCACAAGGCGCAAGTGCCTTGGTGAAGACATCAGCAGTGTTGGCCTCAGAGGCCACGTACGCAAGCCGCAACTGTCCACGCTGCTGTAGCTCACGAGCAAGGAAGTAGCGAAGAGCAATGTGCTTTGTTCTGTGCTCCAGTCTCTGCTTTCGACACAAGGCCAGCATGGCCTTGTTGTCTACGTACAGGACTGGAGGAGAACGAGGCGACTCTCCAAGGTCGGTCAGCAAGTAGGTGAGCCAGCGAAGCTCCTGTGCAGCCATGGCCCCGGCGTAGATCTCAGCCTCACAACTGGAGCCGAGAACAGAAGACGAGCGAGTAGCCCGCCACGAAACAGAGCCGGAACCAAGGCTGAAGGTGTAACCCTGTGACGACCGCTGCGTAGCCTGGTCGTCAGCCCAAGAAGCGTCCGCGTGCCCAGTGAGGACTACTGGACACCGCCCTCCAAGCACTAGCCCCATGCCCGACGTACTGCACAAGTAGCGCAACACCCTCTTCGCTGCAGCCATGTGCTCTGGTCGGTGTCTCCCAGGAGCAACATAGCGTGCGAGAATGCTAAGAGGGTATGCAAGGTCAGGTCGTGTGCAGGTCATCAGGTACATGAGGCAGCCAACAAGCTCTGGATACGGGCCACTCGACTCTACGGACTCATCCGAAGGCAGAGCTGAGAGCGAGTGGCGAGTAGACAGAGGAGTGGCCTGAGGCGAGGAGTACGTGAAGCCGAAGCGCTGAAGGACCTGCTGCACCATGTGTGACTGAGTCAGGGTAATGGTTCGGCGTGCTTTGTCCCGGGTGATCTGCAAGCCAAGGTAGCTGCGCAGTTCACCCAGGTCTGTGCACGTGTGTCTCTTCTGCAGCTCGGACTTCACGTAGGCAAGTCCAGCAGCGTCAGCTGTGGCAAAGACCAAGTCGTCGATGTACACGGGGACGTAGAACGGCGGCAGAGAAGTGTTGGTGCGCAGAAACAGCGACGGGTCGGCAGTAGAAGGAGCAAACCCAAGAGCCGCAAGCATAGTCCTCAGTGTGTCGTGCCACTCACGTGGCGCCTGGCGGAGACCATAGACTGGACGCCGGAGACTCCACTGGGTACCAGGAGGGAAAGACCCAGTGAAGCCAGGTGGGCGGCGCAGCCAGATCTCCTCGTGCAGGGTGCCCTGCAAGAAAGCTGTGCTAAAGTCGAGAGAGTGCAGCTCGTAGTCACGGTGAGCAGCAACGTGCAGCAGTACCCGAAGAGTGGTCATCTTCGGGGTGGGAGAGAAGGTCTGAAAGTAGTCAACTCCCTGCCGCTGACTGAAGCCACGAGCCACGTAACGCGCCTTGAAGACAGGCGGAGAACCCGGCGGCCGCTTCACCCTGAAGATCCACATGCCACTGACGATGTTCGCCCCAGGAAGGGGGACAACGTCAACGTAGGTGCCCGTGGACTTCCAGGAAGCCATCTCTGCATCCATAGCTGCCTGCCACTGAGAAGAGTAGGGACCCTCTATCGCCTCTGCGTAAGAGCGCGGAGTCGGGATGTCAAGTGCATCCGGGTCTCCCTCAGGGGTAAGCAGTACGGACAGGAGATGAGGTGAAGTAGTGGCCAAGCACTGGAACTCCTCCTGCCTATCCTCAAGGACGTCTGTGCCAAGGGCACACTCACCCCCGACGGACGGAGGACAGACAGACTCAGACTCAGCAACAAGACTAGCAGCGTAGTCTAGGCGACAGCGAGCTGCAAAGTCGACGAGCTCAGCAACTAGGGCAGACGCAGCAATGGACTCGAAAGAAGGGTCAGTGACGACAGTAGCCAGGAGACGCGTGACAGTAGGACTGGCAGCACGAAGAGAGTCCGACTCCGGGTCCGCAAGTGCAGGAAGAGAGGACTCAGGAGGAGAAGGCAAAGGGGCACGCAGAGGAGCAGTGGACGGACGCAGAGACATCCTGTGCGTGCCAGGGACAGGAGGAGGACGCTGACGCGAACCACGACCACTAGCGCGAGCAGCACGGACAGGCGATGCAGGGCGAGACACAGGCTCACGACGCTCAGTAAGACCTCCAGTAGGACCAGTGTAGGGAGAAGGAGCAGGCAAAGGGGAGGTAGGCTGCAACTGTAACTGTGACGGGACTGGCTGTGGACACTCTAAAGAAGGAGGAGGACCAGTAGAAGGCGGAAGACACAGAACCTGCTACAGGAGTGGAACGAAGTACAGTCGAGGCTGCGCGGCGACGCCAGACACAGCAGGTACAGCACCAGTACCCCCAGCAGGAGCACCCGCTCCAGCTGCACCACCAGCAGCGCCAGAACCTCCAGCAGTACCAGGAGTACCCGCAGCAGGACCGCCAGCAGTAGTCTCAGCTCCAACACCCTCAGCAGCACCAGCTCCAGTCGAACCCGCAGGCCCAGCAGCTCCAGTACTCCCAGTATTAGCACGGCCGGGACCCGCGACAGCAGCACCCTCAGTAGCCGAAGAACCTCCAGCACCAGCAGCATGCCTCCAGCGCCGGGCAAACCACTCGCGCAGCTCCCGTGGACAGAGTGGCTCCCGCAGAGACGAAGCACCCGGAGAATCTCCAGTCTCAGCACCCCCAGGCTCAGCACACCCAGGCTCAGCACCCCCAGGCTCAGCACCCCCAGGCTCAGCATCCCCAGGCGCAGCACCCCCAGACTCAGCACCCCCAGGCTCAGCACCCCTAGTCTCAGTACACCCACGCTCAGCACCCCCAGGCTCAGCACCCCCAGTCGCAGCACCCCCAGGCTCAGCACTCCCACGCTCAGCACCCCCAGAGTCAGCACCCCAAGGCTCAGCACCCTCAGCAGCACCAGAGTCACCAGTGACCTCGACAGGCTCGACTGCGTCTACCTGGGACACACCTGAAGGGGACGGACCCTGAGGGGGGAGGGGGTCTACCGGAGGGGGACTTGGTACAAGGAAGAGCGGCGGCGGGGGGAGGGACGGAGTGCGGTAGGGGAAGAGGCGGTAGTAGGGGACCGACTCGTCAAACGTGACGTCCTGGGAGGACAGAACACGCCGAGAGGTGGGGTGGTAGAATTGCCACCCAGGCGCGTCAGGGGGGAACCCCAGGAAGACGCAAGGAGCAGCACGAGGGGACAGCTTGTCCGCAGACAAGTCGCGGACAAACGCCCGAGATCCCCAGACGTGGAACGCCGACGCATCGCCAACCTTCCCCGTCCACAGCAAGGCTGGGGAGGTCTCCGGCCTGGAGACCCTGGGGTGTAGGTTGATCTGATGCGCCGCGTACCTCGCCGCAAACGGCCACAGAAAATTGGGAGCAGCCGCATGCATCATAGACGTACGAGCTACGTCCATGACCATGCCAATGCCGCGCTCAGCAATCCCATTTTGCTGCGGGGAGTCCGGAAGCGTGAAGGTCTGGCAGATTCCTCGTGCGCGACAATAGGCCCTCTGAAGGCCAGAAGAAAACTTTCCGCCTCTGTCCGAGTGCAGACGCAGAACAGGAAAGTCCGAGCCAAAGCTCTGCCTGAGCTGGAGACGAGCTGCGCGGATCCAGTCGATCAACACCTCAGTGACATCACCCTTGCTGCGCAAGGGGAAGACTGCGGTGTAACGCGAGTAGTCGTCAACAACGAGCAGGAAGTAGCGCTCGTGACCCTGTCCACGGACGCGGGCTCGGCCCCACACATCCATGTGAAGCGTCTGCAACGGGGCCTCTGTCGGAGGAAACTGGGAGGAGTGAGGGGCAGCCCGCTGGCGCCCCTCGACACAGGGGACACAAGTAGGGCCAGGGCCCTAAGGAAGGGGAGGAAGGGACCGGGGGAGACCAGAAACAAGAAGACGGGAGGCCATGCCTCTGAGCCGAAGTAGAGAGGGGTGACCAAGGCGGTGGTGCCAGAGGAGAGTCTCGTGAGACAGGAGACGACACGAACAGGGGGCAGACTCAGGACCAGACCTGGA